CCCTGAGTGCCGCGTGCATTTCTTCCCTTCTCACCCTGTCTCACCCCCCACCCCCCACCCCAGCAGCTCTGTTCACTCTTTGGGAATCAGATAGTTAAATCCTTGCTGATCTCCATTCCCACACTAGCTTGCTCTTTCTGAACTGGGCCTCAAGGATTAAAAGTGGCCCTGTGACAAGGAAATGATGGCAAGAGAGCCATTAGAGGGAGACAGGAGCCTGGAAATGGGCTGGGAAAGTCCAGGATGCTGCAGGCCTGGGCTGCAGAGCTGGGCAATGTGAAGCTGGGCCCTGCACACAGGACCCCTTCTGGTCTCCAGACTTGAACTCCAAGGATGAGGCCAGAAAAAGCCAAGAGGACAGAGAAAGAAAGGAATTTTGATTCTCAGGAGGTTTTCACACTGTTGCTAGACAGGGCGGGAAGGCAGGGGTCATCTCAGATGTTCTTAATGGACAGGCCTGGAGAGCTGTCACTTTGCTTATTTACATGTAGTGTGGAACTGACCAACGCAGGAGGTTCGATCTCGACTGCCTGAGTTTGAATCCTAATTTGACTGTTTAGAATGTGACCTTAGGTGAGTTAAATCACTTCTCTTGACTCTGTTTTCTCATGTATAAAATGGGTATATCATACCTAGTTCCCATCTTGTTATAAGAATTAAAGGAGGATCTACATGTATTTTGGCTATTTATTTTTCCCAGTGGCAAAGCCTCAACTGTCAGGGCTGGTCTTTCTATCCTGGCCTGGTCTTTATATGAATGGAAGGTCGTTTTCCTCCCCTCTTCTCCGTGTTCAGTCGTTACCGACACCCTGCTGGTTCATCTTTCAATGCAGTGCCTCTAACAGCCATCTCTTCCTGTCCATACCCATTGCTACCTCCTGTTTGGGGGCCTCATTACCTCAGGCTGGGACTGTTCCCATCAACTCCCAACTGATGTCTGGTCTCCATCCTTCACAAGGCTGTCAGACTCATCTTGGTAAAACCATTTCACTCATCTGCTCAAAGCACCTTCCTTGGCTCCTGGTGGCCCAAGTCTGAAGCCTGCAGTGCTTGGTCCCCCACTGTGCATCTCAGTTGGACCTTCCAGATGTTCTCCCACTAGGCTTTTCCTACACGTGCCCTTGGCTCCTCCCAACTATGGGATGTTCCTCAAACCTTCCTCCCCACGGTTGTCTTGGTGAGGCAGTACCCTTGCCTGGAATGTCCTCATGCTCTGCTGAATTCCACTCATGCTTCCAGGTGCAGAGTGAACCCACTTCCCACAGCAGCAAGTTTTGGGTTGCTCACTTTCTCTTCGTGGGTGCATGATTTAACTCCATCAGTAGATGCTTCCATGGCAAGGGCACCCTGTCCCTATTCCCTACAGCCTTTGGCGTCATGCTGAGCACAGAGAAGACGTTCAATAAATTTGTGCTAGTTGACTGGTGGTGGGATGCCCTGGATCAGGCTGCTGTCCCATGGCTATGGACACCTCTCCCTTACCAGCTTTGTGGTTCCTGATGGCTTCTGAGGATGGTAAGACACTGTTTTCTTTTCATTCTTGAATTTTATCTCTGGGGCAAGGGAACTCATAGCCTTCTTCTTTCCAATAAAGTAAATACAGTGATGAGATTCTGGTCACTGAGCAGGTGGCTAAACTGTAAGGCCAACACATGTCTACACATGTGTGGATGTTCAGGGGTGGGCTATACCCTTTTCCCCGAGTGGAGCGGCTGGGCTGGGCTTATACATGCTGAAGGAGGGATGCAGGTAAGGAGGGTGTGTGAGGTATCCTCAGGGCTTATGTTGTCATCTCCTGAGGAACAGTGTCCTTCCCCCATGACTCCTTCTTGTAAGAGCTGCTTCTATCTTCTAGAAACTTCCTTTTAAAAAATTTCTCTTGAACTCTGGCTGTTTTTTTTTTTTTTTTAAATCTCTGCTTCTCATTTGCCACTTAGGTTTTATTGACTGTCAAAGGTCCCTCATTCTCCCAGACCCCCTGAAGAAAGGGTGAATGAACGTCTGTGAAGAATTCTACTAGCTGCTTGGTGTTCAGTGTCTCTTCTGATTTCTACAAGGTTGGTGTTCTTTTTTAAAAAATATTTATTTTTTAGTTGTAGTTGGACACAATACCTTTATTCTATTTATTTATTTTTTTATGTGGTGCTGAGGATCAAACCCAGGGCCTCGCACGTGCTAGGCGATCTCTCTACCACTGACTCACAACCCCAGCCCGAGGTTGTTGTTTTTAAAAACCCCATTTTGTAGATGAGATAACTGAGGTTCAGAGAGGTTCAGGAGGTGGCTCTCACACATAGTGGATGCTCAGGAAATAATGGTGTGATACATGGACTATACCATATCTAAAAGCAGCTCAGGTTGAGGACTGGGGTTGGCAGAGGGTGTGAGACCCCTGAGCAGACAGAAGGGAGGAGGGGGTCCAAGGTCAGAGTGCCACAGACAGAGTGGTCCTGAGTTCCTGAAGGGTCCCAGCTACTACCCCCTGCTACCAGAGTCCCCCTGTGTCTGTCCCCATAGGAACTCAGGACGCCATCCCTGGGTGTCCATTGCTGCTGTCTCAGCCCGCTTCACTGGAAGTGGGGAATGGAACCCTCATGTCCTTCAGAGTTTTCCTCCTTATACTTAGCTGGGAGACACATAAACGCATGCACACACATACATACAAACACATACACACATATGTGTAGATGATTTTACTTTCTTTTAAATATATAGTTTTCCCCCATCCAGGGGGAAACAGAGAAGGGTATGCTGAACTGTAATTTTGGAGTCTGGAGGGTGTCTAAGAAATGCCGGTGTGGCATACAAATGGATGTTGGAGGCAGTGACTGGAACTCCAGAAGGCCTCCGAAAGTAGGGGTGGGAGGAAGTACTTTTTAGGTCCCGGCTCCCAGCCTCTGGTCCAAGGCTCCCTGGCTGTGTGACTCCTGCCACTTTTCGTCATTTTACCTGCACTTGTCTGAAGCCAGTTCCTTAAGTTCCCTGATGTTTTGGAAGGAAGCTAGGAGACCTTGTCAGTGCTAAGTCATTTCCTAGAACTTGAGGAGCTCGAGGATCCACGGGGAATCTTTAAGGGGCTCCAGTTCCCGAGGCCCTCTGCCTGTACCCTCCACTACCCGGCTAGAGAGGCGTCTCTAGGAGACACTACTCACTGGGAAGGGAGAGGATGCAATGGTCGAGGGCCACTGCCCCACAATAGGCCAAATGAAAGGGGCATTCGGAAGAGACCAGCACCCTGCGCTCCGAGCGAGGGCTCGAGGAAGCCGCATTCCCGCCTAAATCCACAAGATGGAAGTTGCTCCCTCTAGCTTTCCCACTAGCTAAGGCTGCTGCTTTCGTGAGTGACCCCTCCCTTCGCGCAAAGTCGAGTCTAGCATTTTTTTTTTTTAATATGCCTTAACTGGCACTCCCAAATACACCTTAGATGCAGTCCAGATCCAGTTTTGGGCAGCGCAGAAAGTTTACGAGGCACTACACATACCCCACCCCAGCATCTCGCTTCTGCGCGCACGGAGCTGCTAGCAAGGAATGTGCGCGCGGAAGCCCAGGGACTCGGGGCAGCTCTAACACAGCTGAGGGTGTGTCAGGAGGGAGTGTGAAACTGGGGTGCCCGGTGTGCGTGGGTGTGTGCTCCCGTGCGCGCCGCGGCGTGTGCACCGTGTGTCTGCAGCCCTGCCGCCTCTCCCCGTCTGGTCTTGCCGGAACGTGTCAGCAGCCTCACTTCTTCAACCCTTTCCCAGCCAGACGCTTTCTTTTCGGTGCTTCTGGGCGTTTACTGTAAATTCCGTGACTAAAACACGCCGGTGAGCCCGGTCCACCGACAGATGGATTAATCAGTTGGCCCCTTCCCGGCTGGGGGATGGGGTCCCCACCCGGAGCCTCGGGAGCCGGGAGCTGCCAGCCGTTTCGGGACCAGCTCCCGGGAGTCCGGCGGGCCGCCGAGTGCGGGGGGCGGTGGCCGCGGAACCTGGAGCGGAGCCCCTGCCGGGGTTGGTCTCCGGGCGCTCCCGCTGCGGTGGGATGCGAATCCCCGCCCGATTCTTTCGGCGCCGTTTGGGCAGGTTCTCAGGCCTCGGTGGAGGCGGCCAGGGCGCCCAGGCACCGCAGCCTTTTCCCGGTTCCGGGGGAGGGGGACCAACGGGGAAAGGAACGTCTCAAAGGGCTGCGAAGCTGGGGCGTGCGGGGTACAAGCGCGCCGCGGTGTGCGGGGAAAGTTCTCGAGCTCCGCGTGGAAAGCACACGTGTATGGGCGCGCAGGGCTAGGCTGGGCAGGCACGCTGCACCGGGGCTCCCCGGCTTGGGGCGCTGGCGCCGGAGGGCGTCCTTCTGTTCCTTTGCACCACCTGGTAGACGCTCCGCTTTGGCTGCCCGCATAGAGGGACACATCAGCCCGCGGAGGGAGGAGCCCCCTTCCCGACCCAGACCGCTTGGCCGGGGTTTTTCTGGCGCCCTGCCCCCAGGCCTCCGGGATGGCTCGGCGCCCCGGACCCGCGCCCTCCCACTTCGCTCAGCCTCCACAGGCCTCCGCGACCCGGCGGCCGAGGGTCCGGGGACAGGGGCAGTGGCAGTGGGGGTTGGAAGGCGAGCCCGCCCGCGGCGGGAGGGGGCTCTGCGGGTAGAGGAGGAGGGCTTGGAGCTTCGGTGGGTTTGAGCAGGAGCTGTCGCCCAGGGAGCCGGCCAGTTTCCGGCCGAGGCAGCAGGTCAGTCCGGGGAAGGGCGGGCGGCTGAGCAAAGGGAGACCGCGGCGGAGCTCTCCCCTCGGCCAGCGTTCCTCGGCGCCAACGCCACCGCCGTGTCGCCGCCGCCGCCGCTGCAGAGTGTCGCTGCTCCGCCGCGCTCCCGCGCCCAGCGCCGCCAGCCGCCTGGGAGCCCAAGCGCCGAGCCCCGGGCGGAGGAGAGGGGCGCGGGCGCGAGAGCCGCGGCGAGGGAGCCGCGAAGGGGGAGGGGGCGGGCGGAGGGAGGAGCAGGGAGAGAGGGAGAAGGGAGGGAGAGAGGAGAGCGAGGGAGAGCTGGAGAGAGCGAGAGCAAAGAGCGAGAGCGAGGGAGAGGAGAGGAGAGGAGAGGGAGGGAAAGGAAAGACACACGCACGCAGAGACTCACGGCCACTGGAATTCCATTAGAAAAAAAGTGAGCCGAGAAAGGGGTAGCGGGAGAAGATTTTTTTGAATCTTTTCTTCGTCTTGGTGCGAAAGAAGCGACTCGGCTCTTCTGTCCTCGAAGCTCCGACTGGATCGTTCCTGGGCACTCACACCCGTCGGTGGATTTCTTTCCTATTTGCATTTATTCTGACTCCCTCCCTCGCCGCTTCCTTCCAGCCCTCCACTCGCGAATCGCCTCGCCCCCACCTCTCCAGTCCCCTCTTGGGAAGCGCAGGGGAATTGGACCCGCGGGGACTCGCGCCTTCCCGGACGAGCGGAGGGGAGGGCTGACCTCAGGACCGGGCTGTTGGCTTATAAAGCGGCCAGACTCATTGCTACGTGTGTGTTTGATTTCGGTGGGCAAAGGGGGCGTCAAGAGGCAGCCCACCGCCCGCCTCCCACCCCACCCCCTCCAGCCAGAGGCGAGAATCGCAAGACTCTGGATCCTCATCGGGCGGACTAGCTGGGATCTCCGCATTGGATTTGGGGCTGATTATTACTGCTTGGCTAGTATTATTGTTATTTTATTTCATTTTTGTTTTTTTTTTCCACCCAAGGGAGAAAAACAAAAAAAAAAAAAAAAAAAACTGTGGGATTTATTTAACATGATCTTGGCAAACGCCTTCTGCCTCTTCTTCTTTTTAGGTGAGTACCTGCGGGCGGCGAGCCTGGGGGGCAGCGCGGGGCCGCGCGTTCGGGCGCCGGAGAGAAGCCGGGGAGGGGGGCGGGCGAGCGGGGCGCCGCGGGAGACTGGCGGAGAGAGCGCGCCGCGGGGCGAGCCCGGCCCGGGCACCAGCGAACCGGCAGGCTGGGCGGCGTGGACGCTGGCGGAGGGACCCTAGCCACCGCCGACTGCACCGGGGGATTGGGAAGGAGACTTAGAACATCCAAACCATCCCCATCCACACACTCACTTGCATGCCGTGATGGCACTCATTCCCCTCACAATAATGGGTTCAAATTGCAGCAACTTAAGAAAAAAAAATAATTCCAACTCTTGATCTGCAAGAGAGCAGGGAGAGGAGAGGCTGGTGGCGGAGAGAAAGAGTCAGAAATGCCAGTTTCACCTTTCCAGATCTGCTCCCGAAGTGGAGGGTCAGGGTTTCTGCTGGAGCTCCCAGTTGGACATCTATGGGGAGCCCTGGCAGTCACTCCCCACCTGCCAATCAAGCTCTTCAAATGCACCCTACCTCCTCAGCTCTGAAACACTTTGCAAGTTTCTCCTTTTCCTTTGCCCAGACCCCAGTCAGAAGGGTGGGCGGGAGCAGAGGATAGTGAGAGCCCTAAGGCCTCCCCTGCTGCACCTCTGGGGCTCAGGGCCCAGTGGCTGGGGAGAGAGGGAGGGAGGGAGGAGGCCAAAGTTTGCTTCTTCAGATGAAGAAGGTAAGGGGTGGGGTGTGGGGGAGGGAAGAAAAGGCATCTGAACAAAGACCACTGTTTATTTTGTAAGCCCCATCCCTCCAGGACAGGAGGACAGACTGCCTGTGATCCCCACCCCAATCCCAGCAGTTTCTTTCCCACATCTCTGCCCCTTTTATGCCATGTGAAATCTCAGCTGCTGGGGTAACTGGTCTAAAGAAGGCCATTTCTGGGTGCAGTGGAGGAAAAGAAGGTGTTTGCAAGGCCAAGTGCTCATCAGGAGTCCTAGGCAGGGCTGCGGTCGGGGATGTGTGCTCCATAGAGAGCCGTGTGTGTGTGTGTGTGTGTGTGTGTGTGTGTGTGTGTGTGTGTGAGAGAGAGA